CCTGGGTTTCAAGCGCCCACTGCAGCCCCTTTCCCACCTCCGTGTCTCCTCATTGCTCCGCTCCCTGGCAGGCCGCAGGCTGGAGGATGCCCCATGGCCCCCCTGGGCTGTGTCTGATGCAACCGCGCTCTCGCCGGCCTTGTCAAGCTCTTTCCCAATGCGGGCGGCAGGGCGAGCTCTGCCCAGCTCCCGCCGCCTGCGGTGCGGCAACCGTCAAAGCGCGGCGGCAGCTCCAGTCAGGGCTCAGCGCTTGATGCTCTGTGAGGTGAGTTTGCCAGGTCTCAGGCTGCCCCATGGCCCCCCTGGGCTGTGTCTGATGCAACCGCGCTCTCGCCGGCCTTGTCAAGCTCTTTCCCAATGCGGGCGGCAGGGCGAGCTCTGCCCAGCTCCCGCCGCCTGCGGTGCGGCAACCGTCAAAGCGCGGCGGCAGCTCCAGTCAGGGCTCAGCGCTTGATGCTCTGTGAGGTGAGTTTGCCAGGTCTCAGGCCAGACTCCGCTGGGCAGTGTCCTCCCCCCAGAAACCGCCCCTGCATCTGCCACTGGCTAGCGCCTGTTTGGGCACTTGGCAGAGGACTGAATGCCCCTCTGCCCCACCCCCCCCCGGGGCACCTCTAGCCCTTCGCTGCCCCTTTGAAAAGTCCTTCTCCCTCCTGTCGCACCACTATGCCGCAGTGCAGCCAGGGAATGCGCCAGCCCGTACAGGGGCCCTAAGACGTGTTAATGCTCCAGGAAAGGTTCCCCTTCCTGGAAAATCCCGCGGGTGACTGGCAGCCCTAAGCACTGTCCGGGCCATCGCCCCTCACAGGGCGCCGCCCTGACATGGGCAGCGCTAGCTCTGAGCCAACGCCCTGGGCAAACACGGATGCTGCAGAGCTCACCACACAGCAGGCCCAGAGCTGGGGATGGGTGCCGCTGGTTTTCGTAGGGACCAAGGAGCAGGCTGATGGGGTTGCCGGGCGCTGGGACCTCTCACCCGTGTGGCTGGCCAGGACTCCAGGGTGCTACTTGTGGCTCTGCCTACACTGCATGATTATTTTGGAATAAGCTAGTCCGGAAGAACGACTCTGAAATAGCTTATTTCGAAATAGCGCAGCTACACTACAGGGAAGCCTGGAAATTAGCCCGAGACAGGCTCCCCTAATGTGGACGCGTTACCTCCATTTACAGCCCCAGGAAGCCCCAGGAGTAATTACTCTGAATGGCCCTGGGGAGAAGCTATTTCGAATTAGCAGCAGTGGAGCGTCCACGCCACAGCTATTCCGAAATCGCTATTCCGGAAGAGGCGTGATTCCGCGTGGAACGAGGTTTACAAAGGCCGAGATAAGCCACCCGTGATTTTGAAATTATTCTGAAATAACGGGCCAGCTGTGTAGACGCTCGTATCGTTATTTCGGAACGATGGACGTTCTTCTGAAATAACGCTGCTGTGGAGACGTACCCTTTAAGTGCCCGGCTTTGCTGTTTGGGCTCCATAAAGCCCTTGTGAAGCGGGGGCGACTCCTACTGACAAGGGGGAGAATCACAGCCCCTACCTCCAGGGCTGAGTCTAGTCCAGTGCACCAGTGGCATGCTGCAGCCTATTACAAGTGTCCGGAGAAAGCTGGGTGAGGACAGCACTGTAGGGATGCAGCTGCGTATGGCTAAGCAGACAGCGAGTAACCCAGGAGATCTAGGTTCTGACCTTGGCTCTGCCACTGATGCTCTGGAGCAAACTGTGTCTGTGCCTCAGTTTCCCACACCAGCGAGGCTTTGCTCCCAAATGCCAGACATTTTATTATTATTCCTCCCTTCGGATTTGTGGCTGCCCTCGTTCTAGCCCCAGGGGGCTGGACAGTCCATCCCTGCTTGCTTTGCCAGAGTCCCAAAATAGCTGTGAGCCTGCCCTGCAGCCAGCACCTCCCTACCATCCCCATTAGCGCCTCCTGCTGGAAGAGAGCAGAGCCGGAATGGCTGCGCTTTCTGTCTTGCTGGCCAATGCGCCTCCCCCCACCGCCCGTTGCCTCCTGCCGGGCAGCGGAGGAGCTGGTGGTTGCAACAACCCCGGATGTCTCTTTGGGGCGTTTGTTGCAGGCAGTGATGAGGAAACCAGCGCTGTGGGTGTGGGTGGGGTGGGGGCGGG